TAAAATGATTGTCTGTGAAATAAACATGTCGGCGAATTAATTGTCGGTGAAACGAGGTGTCTGTGAAGTGATTGTCGATGAAATGCGCACCACCTAATGAAACAAATAGATATATATTTATTGTGAACTTGGTTCATGTACATAATAAAGAATTTTACATTTTGCATGATTGATTGAATCTATCAAAAGAAGCTAAATTCTATTGCAATGTGCTATTGGTTATCATGAATCTAGCTTTGTTATTAGGAGACTATCGTCTAATTGTTCTATTTTGAATAACGAAATTTTTTATCCTTATCAAAATATCTAGGATAATTCGTCTTTGATCAGGATCTGTATAATCAAAGCACGGAAAGTCATCTTTAATTTGATCCACTGGATACCTGTATATACACATTGTATTAGTTGAAAATCCTTCAGGAAGACTGGTAATGTAATTAGATTCAATCTCTGCTCTGTAAAATGTAAACCGTGTCCCAATTACACGTATTGCAAATAATGATTGAACACAGTATATTTCTCGTGTATATATGTGGTTTACAAATGCTGCAGCCAATAATTCACCAGCTATTTGATATTCGCCCCAACAAGTAAGTCTGTTAACATTATGAAAGTGCTTGTCTTCATCAACTATCACAAATAGGTTGTCCTTCCATATAGAAAAGTCAGTTTCCGATGCTACCTTTTTATCGAACACTTCAAAATAACAATCTGCCTTCAGTTCCAAGGAAAGCGGGTGATCATTAAATTTTAAAAGTCCTAAAAGATAGTTTACAAATGAGTCGGTAACTCTCTCACGCTTTCCTGCACTTGCACGCTCTTTTATTAATACATTTGATATATATCTAGCTAGTGCCCTTTCTTCACTATTCCAGCCTTCAGTAAGGGAATCATTATCCCAGACGCCTATAAGAAAATCCTTGTTCACATCTCGTAAAAGAAGACTTTTATTGTAGGAAAAATCAGGCTTTTCTCCAAACATTTCGGCGGCTCCGTCTCCGTAGCAAATATTAAGTGCATTTATGTCTTTCAGTCTAAATACATTAGTACAGTACTGTCGGGAAGTTCCGAAGGGGTTCTCAGACCTGTGCTTGACATTTTTTTGATTTTCTAATCTAAGGGGCAAAGCATATAAGATGGGAAGGGAATTAACCATTAACCATAGCTGCCGCAACAAAATTGGACCGGCAGATCCTCGATTTTGATTGGCTAACGGCCGAGGATCTTCAAAATTACAAAATTGTTTACTAATCTCCGGCCGGAATTAACTTTTTAATTTTTTCATTACAAAAATAGAAATTCTGCCAAGAATAATTTTCACTTAATAGGTGGCTATAATTAGAGTCTATATATATATATATTTTTCTAGCTAAGAACATAGCAATTGCAAAATGTTTATAGTATATTTTTATGTATCAAAATTGCACATTTAACGATTAATAATATTCATCGATCCATTTTGATATATATGCAGAAGATATACAGAATAAAAAGAGATCTAAGTCAAAAACTTGAGTACTAATAGTTAATAAAAAGCAAAAAAAAAAATTGGAACGATAAGCAAACAAAATTTTTTTTTAAAATAATTAAATTAAATTTAATTATTTTAAAACTTATATATTCACAATTTAATTCTCTATTCACGTGGGTAGGAATACTGTATATTAATTTAAGCATTTAAATTAAGTTGTTCATGAATATTGACTATTTATCGGTAAGGGAAAAAACATTTATTAATTTAAGTAATTTAAAATATTCTATTCAAGTTCATAAATATTTACTATTTAATTTCATTTTTTCACATTAATGATTCAATGAGTATAAAAATTATTCGCATTCAAGAGACATATAAATAGAACGAAGTAACTAATGTGGATTGAAAATTATGGTTATGAAAAATGTGCGCAATGTAATTAAGATAGCCAAGCGAAATTCAAGAAATTATGAGTGAAAATAAGGATTCTGATGATTGTATGAATTGTATAAAGTGATTTAACTTGGAACTAATGTATAATTGAATGAATGTTTGCTAGACTTGCATAAAAATTGGATTTGGCGTTGTACGTATTTTCTGGATAGCATATAATTAAATTATATTTATTTGGATTTTTTAATAATATAATAAATTATTCAAGATATTAAATAAATTTTATTATATTTGAATATGTTGTACGTGAAATTTGAATGGGCTTGAAATTGAAATTGAGTTGTATTTATTAGAAAATTGGAAAGCTTGTCGTGTGAAGCAAATTACTTTATAAAAGTTTTCAACCAGACAAATTTGAGTCTTTAAATTGTCTAATTAATCGATTGTACAGATATAATAATTTTGAATATATATGTATTTAATGTTTAATTTGGGTTATTTTTTCTAATACGTTCAAAGTTTTCAAGGTTCAATCAAACACTCACGATTCAGAATGTTCAAAGAATTGATCTTTATTTCTTAGTTACGTCATCACTACTGATTTATCGTGATACGTATAATAATTAATTCAATAACCAATCAATTGCATTAAAAATCCACTTAAGTTATTCTTGTTTATTTTCATATATCGATATATATATTTTAAATTGGCTTACATTTCTGATCGACAATTATATATTAGAAGTATAAATAGTATTTTAGAGCCAATATTCTCGAAAAAGAAATCAAACAATTGAATTAGATCGATATCTTACTATTCGTGAAAAAGCTATCAAATTTTCAAGTTCTCTTCTTTAGTAATTTGTTTAAAGGTTTTTTGGGAGGCATATTAATTATTAATAAGTCAAAAATAATTAAGATTTTTAAAAAAATTTTAAACGATAATTTGTAGTCCTTTATTAATTTATTATATATTAATGTTATATAATAACAATAAATCATCAAAAAAAATTTCAAACCAGAAATAACTTATTTTCGAAAATTATTATATGAATCACCCTAATAACACGTGTCTGAAGAATCAACGAATTTTGTGATTGATGCAGAACATATTTACTTATGCGATTCGAGCTTACAGTATATATTTTATTATATGAACTCATAGTGTTACCGTCACATTATAACTCAATCACCTTTTTACCCCAAATAGCTCAATTAAAATCAGAAATTTTTACATTTAGGCCGGGCTATATACAATGTCAATAATTTATCCACCTATTAATTACTTTTTTTATTTCATTGTAATCCCCATTGAACCACTCTTTATGGGTTTCTTTGCAACTAGGGCATTTTTGCAAAGAAACCCTGTCATTCATAAGTTCAAGGTGGATTAATCTTTCCACCCTGTGGTTATACTTGCATTTGTGGGCAGTGGGGAAGTGTTCAATTTTTTCGATTTTGTATTGGCATTTTGTTTCCCACTGCCCACGTCGCGCCTCCACCCGGCCGACTTTGTACTGTTTGTTTTTTGCATTTGTAGCTATATACAATATGGGTTAGAAAATATCTTTTTACATAAGCAATTAACAAATTAGTAAACCATTATAATATTTGTATATATGTAGATATATCCAGACTCGTCGCTTTTTGATATATCTTTTTTTTCATTTCTTGCTCTAGACGAGTCTTTGTATCCTCTGGAAGATCTGCTTGAATGTAATCTATGAAAGAAATTATATAATCAATACAAAATACATATGTATAGGATTATAAATTTGGTATGCTCGAATGGCAGCCAATAAATTTAAGTATTTGGATATTTAACAAAATACCTTGGACGTTTACGAAGTAGTTCGGCGATCTTCCAGCGATGATTATTTTTTGTTCCGGTTTTTGGAGTTTTATGACCTAATATTAGATAGTAATTTTAAAAAATTAGTCATATTATATTCGTATAAAAAAATCCAATTAGAAGAATAAACTTTGAAAATATATATTTCTACTACTACGGCTGTCAGTAATTACACCATCGCAAAGATAAAATTTTAAAAATCGAAAAATAAACTAACTATAAATATTTGATAATATATACTCATCATCGTATAACAAAAAAAAAAAATTAAGATAACCTGCCTTTGACTCATTTTTTAATTTCAAATATTCGTTGACATCAATTGCGCCATTTTGCAAATGTTCATCAAGGTGCAGTTCGAAATGTTCCTTTCTTGTTGCTGAAGATAACTTTTTACCGCCTCTACTCTCCTCATGTTCGTAGTATTCAACGGCGCTTTATCTTTTGCTGCAAAGTAACTTTGTCCGGCTCTATAGACTCGCCTTTCCGCATCAGGTATGCTTGAGTTGAATATACATATATTTCGTATTGTATTGAAGATGATTTAGTACTGTATTATATAAAATTTTGAGATAGTACGATACA